ATCATCATAGAGCGCACGCTTCCCATTCCTCTTCAGCTTTTCAAGAAGCCGCGTTGCGATGACTCTAGCTTGGGCAAAGTTATCCGTTGGGCGACGCTCATTTCGCCACAAGAGACCCACTTGGTACCCGCTGCCCTGGCGACATAGCGGGAACGATGGCAGGTGCTGATGTTGTTCTGGAGGTTCATCCAACTGCCATAGTTGTTCAATGTGGGCTGTGACACATGACACGGTCACCGGCTGACTGTTTCGACTTTGTGCAGACGCTGGACCAGATAATACATTACCTATCTCTGTGTTCCACACCGTCTCACCATTAACTTCCTTCTTGCTGTGCAGTACCGCGTTGATATAGTCTGCACCAATCAGCATATGTATTTCGTCTGATGTCCCTTGTTGAGGCTTGTCACTCAGCTCTACTCCCCAACTGTGCCACTGCGCAATGGTCTGCGGACTTGCGCACTTCAGGTCCAGCTCAAGCGTTGGTTTCACGAACGCGCGTACCCGAATGCTAGCGGAGCTACCCTGGATCGTGATGGCGTACTTATCCATGCGCTGTTGGGTTGGTTCCGCGCCGAACGGCTTCACCTCTACATTTTCAACCCCAACGTGTTCTGCATCGATTGCTGACACCAACGCTGCAGTCACGAATGACGCCTCAGCACCCGAGTCCAGGAACACGCGAACCTTCGCGTTTCGAGTTCTTCCCTCAACTCGTGCCACTCCGGTCATCAGCCGCACACTTGGCGAGTGTAGACAGCACGACCCAACATTCTTCTCCGTAACTATCTCAGTCGGTTTCTCCCGGCTGTAACCTGCTCTATCCAACACATCATGTATTAGCAGGTGGTGTTTCCTCTGGCATTTCGTGCATCTCGAGCCTGACCGACATTCTCTGGCCATATGGCCATACTTAAGGCAGTTCCAGCAGAGTCTCTCTCGCTGCAGAAAACCCTTTCTCCCTTCCTATGGCAGCGACTTTAGCTGCTTCTCTGCATCTGCGACCGATATCGCCATGCACTGTGCCGACGCCGTGGGCCTTGGCACGGATCGTTCTACTGGCTTCCTGGCAGTATCACCCTGTCGTCCGTGCGCGACCTGGTAAGACGCGCCGTGCTCCTGTACCTGGCGCAGTGACATCCCGTAGCACTGCCGTTCGACCAGGTACGTCTTCATCTCAGGTCCGCATTGCTCCAAGATTACCTGCTTTGCCATTGCTTGCAGCACCGGGGACATTTTTCCTATATCGGAGCTATACTTGGTGTCCACCTCGCCATCTTCTGTCATAGCGAGTGTGGCCCACACCTCTACCTCTCGGCAAACACGGACAACGTATTGATGAAACGACTCATCTGACCGCTGCTTGCCTGTCAGCAATGTCTTCCACGCTTTATCCGGAGTCTTTCCGAGCGAGGCAAGCAACTCTCGTTTTGCTTCCTCGTAATTATTGCATCCAATACATACAAATGTTGTGAACCCCCTGGTTCTCTAAAGTGTCAGGAACGAACGACCCCACACGGCACGAGGACAACTATTTATTCTCAACAATATCTTTCACTTCCATCGACTAATAACAATGAAACAATGAATGGAACAACTGAATGAACTGAATAACTAACACTAAAACCACCAGGTAGTTATAGCGTGAAAATGACAGCGTATATGAGAAAAGCATACACATACAACATACAACTACAGCGCACACAGCAAACCGCACATAGCGCATGTAGCGTATACTACGTCGTAATCATCAGCGGTACGGCGGAGTCGGCATACAGCTGCATTGAAACGAACACAATGTCACAAGCGAGAAGGCCTTTCACTCTCGAGAACCTGTCGTTTCACAACATTCTCCCCACCAAAGGGCTTCTCACCGCCGTACAACAACTCACAAGTCACACGATTTGGGGCTTACTACGCGTTATCTGCTGCTGCGGTGGTGGCCATGGTAGAATATCACTAATGCCCACCAATTCGGCCAACTCGATTTTGTGAAGCTTGCCGCTGTGGGCTGTTGCACACGACACTGCCACCGATCCACTTCGACATGGGGCGGACGCTGGACCAAACAACACACAACCCATAATGTCATAAAGCTCGACGATGTGGGCTGTCACACACGACATGGTCACCGGTACACTGCTTCGACCCGGGGCGGGCGCGGAATCCGAGGACACACATCGGATCTCTGTGTTCCACACAGTCTCGCCGCTTACATCTTCCGTGCTAACCAGTAGTATCGCCCTTCTCATTTTCTCGGCTTCTACGCCTTGCGTTTCTAAGTCTTGCGCCTCTAACTCTTGCGCCTCCAACTTGTTCGGCCGAGACTCCAGCTGCTTCTGAGCGTCTCCGACCGATGTCGCCATGCACTGTACCGACCCAGTGGGCCTCGGATCTGATCCTCCCACTGGCTTCGAATACTCTTCTGACCGCTGCTTGTCTGCAAGCAAAGTCTTACACGCCTTGTCCGGCGTCCTTCCGGGCGAGGCAAGCAAATCTCGCTTTGCTTCCTCATAATATGTATTGACGGCGATGCGCTCCGCCATCTTCTTGAGCTTTTCGTTAAACTCTGCGCGGAGCGCACACTCTTGCCGTCTAGCACTGCGCTCTTCAAACTCCTCGCTCTGTCGGAGCCTCTTCTCCACGTATTCTCTCAACCTATCGCCTTCAAATCCATACCGAATTCCGTTGGCGATAAAGCTGGCTTCAATGATCCATAGTTCCTGTGCCATGCTCGCTTCGTATCCTGGCGTGGTCGCCAAATGTTGTGAACCCCCTGGTTCTCTAAAGTGTCAGGAACGAACGACCCCACACGGCACGAGGACAACTATTTATTCTCAACAATATCTTTCACTTCCATCGACTAATAACAATGAAACAATGAATGGAACAACTGAATGAACTGAATAACTAACACTAAAACCACCAGGTAGTTATAGCGTGAAAATGACAGCGTATATGAGAAAAGCATACACATACAACATACAACTACAGCGCACACAGCAAACCGCACATAGCGCATGTAGCGTATACTACGTCGTAATCATCAGCGGTACGGCGGAGTCGGCATACAGCTGCATTGAAACGAACACAATGTCACAAGCGAGAAGGCCTTTCACTCTCGAGAACCTGTCGTTTCACAACAGGGTCCATTGCTCTTCGTTATGTATGTTCGAGATATGTCTCATGTGGTGAGACCATACGGTGTTACCCCAACACAGTTTGCAGATGACATCTCATTACAAGCCACTGCCGAGACAGCGACAATTGTTGCTCAGCGACTGTCCAGTGCAGTACAACACCTGTCTGACTGGCTACGACAGCGTGGCTTAATTCTGAATGAAGCGAAAACACAAATCCTGCCAATCCCTCCTCACAGAGCACCACCCTTTGCCCTACGCGTGACATGCAATAGTCAAGATCTGCCGGTGGTACCATCGGCCAAGTATCTAGGCTTACATTTTGACACGTCAATGTGCTGGCAGACAATGGTTCAACGTGTTGCTATCACGGTTTCTGCTAAAATAGCTGTGCTGCATCTTTACCCCTCTCCTGTCGTATCTGTTACTTCAAATGCTTTGTGCTGCCTGAGTTTCTGTATGCATCCAATGCCTATGCCCATATCTATCTGTTCACCAGGAGCTTCGTCTGGAAAGGCTCTTCAAGCGCGCACTGCGTGCTGTATGTAAAGTGCCCCCATGGACCCCCCACTGTTACGCTGCTTGAGCGTGTACATATCTGTCCCTTGCACGCTACCATTCAACTTAACTTGCTCTGCTTTATATGGCGTTGTCTAAATTTTTCAGGAAGTAGATTGTTTGAAACTTTTTTCGACCTCTTCCGTCACGAAGAACTCGAGGAGGCAACAGTAACCTGCAGTAACCTGCTTATCTTCCCTGCAGCTGCATATGCAAATTCTACCAAATTGGTGACACATGCTGGCGCAGTTCTCTGGAATTCCCTCCATGCGGATATCTGAGGCATCACCAAACTGGCCACCTTCAAGTCGAGCGCTTTGCAACACATTCTTGCCTGCTTTTAGCTTTACGCCCATGTTTCTGTAGCTGTGCTGGAACTGCTCTATTTCGCCGCCACTATTTTACCATTAGCCATGTCTCCCCCCCCCCCCCCCCCTCCTTCACCCTACACAGTGGATCCATTGTTATTAGACATCTGCCTGTTTTGCTTTCTCCACTATCAAGAATACTACTACTACTACTTACCAATACAATCAGTTGCTAAGCAACAGCTGGTCATTACGATAATCATCAACCATCACTCATGCTGCAGGTATTCAGGACAGTGTGTCCAAGACCAACAGCAAGCCTTCATGCTCATAATACCTGCATCTACAAACAGTCATGCTCTAAGACCAAAGGTCAGCATTCATGCACTGAAACTCCCCAGCCAATAATCATGCTCCCATTCTGCGCACCCAATATTCATACCAGCAAACTGTGAAGTCAACTGTAATTCTCCTACAAGTACATATAGGTATTTACACAGAGGCAGAATTCTTACACCAGAACTGCGCAGTCGACAATCAGGCTCTGCTAGCACCACGCCCCCAGTCAACAAATTATTAGTGAAGTAGCTTATACATTGTATAAGCAGTCATCAGACAGCATGGTCTTAGACAACTGTGCATTATATAGTATGCTCGGATATACAGTCAACTTTGCGTATAACGACACTCGGCGGGGCATCAGAAAAGTGTCGTTATTTGCGAAGTGTCCTTATACCCGAAGTCTCATTACATTATGTATTACAGGTGATTTGGGCTTTGCCCTGGGCATGGAAATTCTGTCGCTATTGGCGAATTGTCGTTATATCCGCAGTCGTTATTAGCCAAGTAGACGGTATAGTCATCATTTCTGCTCCAATGCACACGCCACTGTATATCCAACATTCACGTTCCAATACTCACAACCAACATTCATACCGCCCTACCCAAACAGCCAACATCCATGCTCCGATATACGCACAGAAAACATTGCAGCTCCAAGCCTGCCTGCAAGCACTCCCATTGCAAGTCACACAGTCACTGTCACTATCATGTTCTACACATCACTGTAAGTGACAAAGACTGGCACAACACAATCATAATGTACATCAGTATACAATACACAGTCGTAGCCACTGACCATATCGTGTCAGCAGAAACATTATATGAAAACATTTTATAAGTTACACACACACACACACACACACACACACACACACACACACACACACACGCACGCACGCGCACGCACGCGCGCGCACACACGCACGCACGCACGCACCCACGCACACACACACACACACACACACACAGTGACCTTGTGACGCCCCATCGCCAGAGGCGATGATAGGCTTGATGAGCCAGGCAGAAATGCCGATGATGCTTGAGGTCGCCACTTCTGCGGAACGACCGTCCGCATGCGCAGCTGAACGGCTTGGCGAGTGGAGGAGCCGGGGGAGGGAGACGGTCACTGGAGATCTTCCGTCGCCAGGTGGGACGATCCTGTGCCATGGCCAACCAGTGTTGTTGAGGGATGTCCGCGTCATGCAGGTCGTCAGCAAGCACATCCCGCCACCGCTTCTTCGGTCCATGGTGGGGTCGTGTCGGCATCAACTCTCCGAAGAGAACTTTCTGAGGCATCCGCTCGGGGCTCATACGTGCAACGTGCTCAAGCCAGCGCAGACAATGCTCACGAAGCAGCACATTGATGTCGGCTGGCAGCCTCGCTCTGCGGGCAAGCTCGTTGCTGGTGAGGTGGTCCGATCGCTGAGTGGATCTGGACACGCCCAGTATAGCCCGGATCGAGGACCGGTGGAAGCGGTTGAGACGGCGGAGATGTGTAGCCTTAACAGCCCAGGTCTCTGCCCCGTAAAACAGCGTCGGCATGACAACAGCCTTTTATACAGTTCTCTTGATGTGAAGAGATAAGCCACGGCACTGGAAGATGGGCTTCTACAGCCTACCAAACAAGCGGGAAGTCTTGGCCGGTCTGGAGGTGACCTCCTTGTCCAAGGAGCCACCCGTGCTGAGAGTGCTGCCGAGATAGGTGAACTCCTGGACGAGGTCGATGTGATCGTCGTCACCGACGGTGGCGGATGCCGGCGGGGGATGGTGGAGATTCACTACCATTGCCTTGGTCTTCTGGATGCAGACCGTCAACCCCCACTGCGAAGCACATTCAATGAACTCGTTCGCCATGGTCTCGAGAAAGGGGAGCGACGTGGTGTACAAAGCTGCATCGTCGGCGAACTGCGATTCCGTTAGGCACGCTGGGCTGAGTCGGGACTTGGCTGTTCTGTCGCCCACCAACTTGCGGCCGACACGATACCGAAAATCAACGCCAGGAACTGAAGATGCGGTCCGCCACGTCGCAACTACTGCAGAGAAGTACAGGTTAAACAGTGCAGGCGCGAGTGTGCCGAAGTCCATTGCAGACGCTGAAAGACTCAGTCAGACACACACGCACACACGCACACACACACACACACACATGCACACACACACACACACACACACACACACACACACTGATTCAAACTCCTTCACATATTATACATGCACGCACACCCCCCCCCCCCCCCCCCCAACCCACCCACACGAAGTTGAACTTGGTGCTGTCTACCTAAGTAGGTATAGTATTATCAAGAGTACATAACCCCCCAGAGTGTGCAACGCCTGATCCAGCTCTGCATAGGGTCTTGGTCGAGCGTAATCGGATCTTTGCGTCATAATACCGTACACATATGAGAGGAACCCGGGGAGTCGCGGGTACTCTCGGATCAAAACAATGGTGCCCTGCCTCGAGACTGGCCTTGCGCTGGTATGGAGTGTACGCATGACATCAGAAGATTCGATTACGCTCGACCAAGACCCTATGCAGAGCTGGATCAGGCGTTGCACACTCTGGGGGTTATGTACTCTTGGTATTATACATTATTATGCTGTTGTGGTTTTGTTTTTGCCTCTTTTGCGTGTTTTTGCCTTTTTTTCTTTCTAGAATTTTGAGTTGAAGTTTTTTGGAACACTTGGGAAAAAATAATCATGGTGTTTCTTTTGCCCATAAAAGAGGCTGTAGACCCAACCACACGCACACCCAAGCACCCCCCTCCCCCCCCCCCCCCCCCCACACACACACCCAAGCACCCCCCCCCCCCCCCCCCCCACACACACACATGTACATCTCAGGCCTCAGACCTGCCCATCGCGGAAGCGATGATAGCGAACAGCTATGTTAGACATAGCAACTTGTGCTGGGATTACACCATTCAACAGCTTGCAAGGCTGATGAATTGACCGCCACTAATTTTAGCCTGGTATCCACCAGACAGCTGGTTGAAGTGGCTTATTCTGGCCAGTGAATCCCTATTTTTCATTTTTTTTTACATATACACGCCACACCACATACTCCGGCATACACGCCACACCACATACTCCGACATACACTGGTTACCACATGTACACACACACACACACACACACACACACACACACACACACACACACACACACACACACACACACACACACACACACACACACACACACACCATTGGACCATTGGACGCCCATCGCCGAAGGCGATGATAGCGATGCTACAGCAGAAGCCATAGCAGCTTGTGCTGGGATTGCACCATTCAACAACTTGCAAGGCTGAAGAATTGTCCGCCACTATTCAGCCTGGTCCACACCACACAGCTATGAAGTGGTTTTTTCTGGCCAGTGAATCCCTATTTTTTGGTCTTTTTTCATTTTTTTACACACACACACACACACGCACACACACACACACACACACACACACACACACACACAAATTAGTTGTTCTCTCTACCCATGTATAGAAACACGGACAATAAGACAATGCTCTCTTACCGGTAGATTCTATTCCAGGACTGCATACATGTACATCATTATCCTAATCACCCATTCCTACTCTGCTCTGTTTGCGTATAGCATCATGTGGATGAATGTCTGGTGATATGCACATAGTTAACTGCTACATCACACTCATAACGTATACACTGTAGCGTAGCTTACGCATGGTTGATCACACAGTGAGCAATGAGTCCTGGAGGCACGAAACCTACGTCACAATACCAGCCAAGTCGTCGATGAGTGTCCGCCTATGCGTGACCAGGCGCTAACTGATGTACAGCCTCACTACAGCCAGGTACCAGCCATCTACGTGAGTATTACCAGCCATGCGTCTACTAGGCGACGTGCGTAAATATAGATGATGGTGGAAAGAGAAGCATGACTGATTGCCGGTCTGATCTGAAGCCAAGATTAGAATAGAATTACTTTATATAGAAGAAGGAACGGACCAAAGGTTTACACCGCAGTATGCGTTGTTGTCCACTAACTTATTGCCAAGGATGATGTAGGGTCAGAACGTGTGGCATTTGCCACAATATGCACTGATGATACTGACATTCAACGCCCTGACGTTTGCCTCGATCACGTCTTGGATACCCTGACCAACACACTTCCAGCCGGTCATAAAAAAATTTTATGATTAAAATTCCATTCATTGAAAACACAAAAACTGTGAAAAAAAACTGAATTAGTTTTCGTCGCACACATGATGTCATTGCCTTGATAACTTTGACAGGATCTAGATCATAGTCTATTCATAGATGTGTCAATGAATAGCCATTGGCGGACTATGCTCGGCCAATCGTCAAATTATGCTTTTGATTATGCCACAATTATGCCAACAAATATGCTGAATTATGCTGAATTATGCTCGGCTCCACTATGTATTCACACTGTACATAGAGGATTGAGAAACCACGCATACACACACGGCCATGCCCTAAGCATAATTTTTGTCTAAACCGAAGGATTATGCCGACCTTACACGCTGGAATCCGTATAATATACGGATTCCAGCGTGTAAGGTCGGCATAATCATATGCCGGAGCATAATTTTTGGACGAAATCCCAAGACTATGCCAAATATTATGCCGGCATAATCCGCCAAGGGCTATGACAAGGAGTCGTAACTGGAGTATTTAAAAAAAACATCTGCAGGCTTTCTGACAAAGCTGTATTATGCCCCTAAGCATAATTTTTGTCTAAACCGAAAGATTATGCCGACGTTACACGTTGGAATCCGTATATTATGCCGGAGCATAATTCTTTTGACGAAATCCCAAGATTATGCCAAATATTATGCCGGCATAATCCACCAAGGGCTATCAATTTAAAATGAACCAGTGAGTCACTGACTCCATTCCAGGTAATCGGTAGTATTCGGTACCACTACAGTCGTCCCTCTCCAGGGACTAATACATGTGTTTCACGATGACAGCGTGAACAAGGCGGAGGACCCACAGTATAGGAAAACAGGTTTCCTGACTGAAACCATAAACTGGTTGGCGGGCCTGGTCTTGCGACAATTTGAACCACGAGATCAGGGAATAGTCCTATAATGCTCAAATAGAGTAATGAGTGTCTGAACAGTAGCATAGCCCATACGGTTCAAATGGGCACAGGATCGAGACCCTACCCGGCAACCGGTGTATGTTTGCAGTGAGCCTGGAGTAGTGTTTTCCCATACAGTGGGTAGTCCACCTTGTTCACACAGTCATCGTCAAACTTACATACTACAATCAGGTACGTGTAGTTACGAAGTTTGTGTTCAAACTGCACTACCCAGATCTGTTCATTTCCAACAGCAATGGCCGAACAGGAATGTCGTGAAATTATGACTCCATACCAGTAAAGAATGTTTCTCAGACCATTTTCAGTCACACACTGACTAAAGTGTTTGGTACTTTGTCGGCTCATCATCTCAACACAGATCCTAGTGAGAACAAAACTACTTATACGTACTGACGATGAAGGAACTTAGAGAACATTATCCAACAGGGAAATTTGGCCATGCTGCTGAGCGCAAGCTGCTGTTAGAATTATTAATCTGAGTCATTGACTATGATTGAGCCAGTCTCCGTCACGTGATATCATACACTGCGTTTCTGTGTTCTACGTAGCTTGTAAATGATAGCAATGATGATGTCCATGAATGTCACGTGACCACTCTTAGTCAATGTAGTGGTTGATTGTGTGACGATGAAGTTAGACAGTAATGTTGATGTGTAGCATAGCTTACATACAGTGAAGTCTGTATTTTACACTGCTGTTCATCTCATAGTGAACATTTGGGAAAATCTCAGACAAAACTGGCGTCTTTTTCTACACGTCATGTAAGAAGGAAATGATTTTCGAACGTGATCCGCTGCAAATGTGCTGGCTGTGCCTGTAGCTGGAGTCCCAATGTGTAGGTGGAACTACCAGATATGATACCGCACAGAGCTAGAGATGCACACTCCCATTGTACTGACATTGGGTATAGGCAAATCAGTATCCCTGTAACCGACCTGGGGCCATACCACCCTTCAGGAGCCGGCTCTGTATCTCAACACTGTGTATTCTATTGGTAAAAGTTTGCATTCTGAACTCAATGCCACTGGGTTGTTATGTTTAGTGTTATGTGTAATGACGTCACGACGATCGAAGGCAAAACTCTGTAGTAAAAGGTACAGTCTGAAGTCTTAAGTACAACGGTTTTGTTGTGTATTTATTTATTAGGACAGCCTTTTTCATTGGCACAAAAACACAATACATGTTGATTTTCAACACAATGGCACATTTTACATACATGTATAACAATTAATTAATCAAAGGAAGAAGAGAAGAAAACTGAGCCGGAAAGTACTATACTGTTTAACATACACAGGAGCAGATAAGTTTGATAGCAAAAAGCTATAGTACATGAAGTGAGATACGCATGGAAGTAACACCGTTAGTTAGCGGCCACTGCAATCTGATGGTGGATCAGCAGCCAGGACATGACGTCACTGCACCATGTGTAGGACTGGACTTGTCCGTTCTACATACAATGCAATGTTTGTTTATTCATTTGTTAAATTTGTTTGTTCGTTATGTTTATTTAACTTGTCACGTAAAAGGGTAACTGGGTCCAATGGTACAAAGACGAATACGGAAGAAAAGAAGCAAAGGGGAAAGGAAACACAAGGACAGGAACGGACAGAAGAATATCACAAAGCAAAATAGCCAAGGCTATAGAAGTACTCAGGAAATGACTGTTATGAAACCACAAGTTCTCAAATGTGAAAGGCCTTCTCGCTTGTGACATTGTGCTCGTTTCAATGCAGTTGTATCTCGACTTCGCCGTACCACTGATGATTACGACGTGGTATACGCTACATGCGCTATGTGCGGTTTGCTGTGTGCGCTGTAGTTGTATGTTGGATGTGTATGCTTTTCTCATAATTATTATACGCTGTCATTTTCACGCTATAACTACCTGGTGGTTTTAGTGTTAGTTGTTATTAGTCGATCGAAGTGAAATATACTGTTGAAGAGTAAATAGTTGTCCTCGTGCCGTGTGGTCGTTCGTTCCTGACTTTTAGAGAACCAGATGGGTTCACAACAATGACATAAATTGGTCACACCAACAACAACAACAACAACAACAACAACAACAACAACAACAACAACAACAACAACAACAACAACAACAACAACAACAACAACAACAACAACAACAACAACAACAACAACAACAACAACAACAACAACAACAACAACAACAACAACAACAACAACAACAACAACAACAACAACAACAACAACAACAACAACAACAACAACAACAACAACAACAACAACAACAACAACAACAACAACAACAACAACAACAACAACAACAACAACAACAACAACAGCAACAGCACTCCAACACACCATTTCACGTCAACACATAGTAGAGTACATAGTATTAGACCTGCCCTGTTGATCCACGATCAGCCAAATGTACAGTCTGTTGCTGAGTTGTACACCAGACCACACACAAGCAGCTACTACAGTGTCTACATTGTCAAGTTGCTCAGTGACGTCATGTCATTATGGTGACATGTGTTTGGCAACAACCAGTTATAAAGTAGAATTTTACGACAATCAGATTGACAACACCAACACCACCCTGGTCTGTATGGGACTGTACCCTAAGACATGATGTCATCAGCTCTTTGTCCGTGTTTGATGAGAAGAGCGTAGCATTCTGACGAGTAGGTTGTGGTGTACTTAGTAAAACAAATTAAAAAAATTGAATCGTGATTGGTTACAGGTAGTGTTGTTTAGGGGCCGTCCTGGTTTACCGATTGTTTTTACAAAACGAAAAGTTTTAGTATTTTTCAGCCCCCACCCACCCACCCACCTTTTCTGCAGGTAAAACGAATTCCAATAAAATATTGATGTCAATTTTCGACACCCAGAAGTAACTGGGCATTCTCCATCAGCATTCAATGATTATTTTCAAAACGAAACTCCATCAAACCCACCCACCCACAAACGAAAACATTTGGTTTTGAAAATATTATTGGTAACCTTGGACCGCCCCTTAGGCCTTGACGGATTATGCTAATATTTTCGTGAAATTATGCTTTTCGCATTGCTGAAAAAATCGCAGAATTATGCTATTTTTATGCTAAAAGTTATCATTATGCTCCCATATGCTGCAAATGCATAATGGTTCAGTGCAAAATATTAAACAGGGGAATTTTTTTGTAGAGGGCGTTGTACTGTAGTAGCAAAAGTCAACGGGGTCAACGCACCGTCCGACCTAGCTACGACCATCACTGATTGTAGTGGACTGGACATAGTCGTAAACCTACAACTTCCTAGTGCATCTACTTGTACTTGTACTTGTAGAATATGTACATGTACAACTGTATGGAATTTGATGCGAACAGGCGGATTATTACAATTTTATGCGATTCGTATGCAATTTGCCTCGAATTATGCGATTATTCGATTTTGGTAGGAATTATGCGAAAAATTATGCTAGCATAATCCGTCAAGGCCTAGTGTTGTTATGTGGTAATGGGGGAGGTCCACCCATTATGTGTGTATTCTACATGTGTGAATGTGATTCTTGTCACCAATGTAAACAACACCTGTTATGGTCTCGGTCTGTGCAGAGCGCGACGACATCGTGCAGACGGTAGGCCCAGACAGATCCTGCCGGCAATTCTGGCAAAATATCGAAGAATTTAAAGAGCGGAAAATGCCGGAAAAATCAGAGCAAAATATCGAGATGTTGGGTAAAATAGATGCCTGATACTTGGATTTCCTTGTTTCAGTAGGAAGTTTTTAAATTTTATTTTCATTATTTTTTGGTTTGGTGAGACTACCATGATAGGTATCCATTTACCTCTGGAGAATCCGTAAATAAACAAACAAACAAACACTGCCCAGGACGAGATCATGTGACCGAAATATCACTGGGATTCACTGTGGATCCACATGATTTTGCAAGAACTAAGGGACACGTGCGTGGAAATCCGTGTTGAGAAACCGACCCTGCGATTTTATGAAAAGTTGTACGGAATTGTACGGGAATTGGATAAAATACACGTTTTTCCGGAGCAAAATGGAGCAAAATATCGAGATTCTTGTGCC